AGGCTTGGTCTTCTCTATGACATTGTTAAGAAGGTGGGAAATCCTATTATGGTAATTGAAAGGTAGGGCCTGAAGAGGTGATTAGATTGTAGGACCATGCCATGTGAATGGATTAATAATGGTGAATGGATTAGTAATGGTCAGGGGCATGGTTTGGAAAGCTTCAAAAGGAGAGCACATGAACAGTTTGTCTCTCTGTTCTGCCATTTTCTGCCATATGAGACTCCTGAGTCACTGTTGCCACCACCAAGACCCTCAGCAGATGTGTTCCCTGGACTTTGGACTTCCCGGCCTCCAAAATTGTAAGGAATAAATTTCGTTTTCTTATAAATTACATAAATATACTGTTTCAACATTGTGTGAGTATTTTCCTGAGGAAAATAAATTCCTTTAAAAGAAAAAAAAAATTCCAATCCAATTTGTACCTATTTCCCAACTGATTCTACAAAGCTAGGGAAAAACATAAAGAGAGGAATGGGCAACTGTGAGGAAGAAAACAAACAGAAACCAGTTAAACAGCGAACAGCTCAATGAACAGCAGAAATCTTTAATTGCATCACCTGCACCTGTAGAGACCTTTGTTCCTAACTTCAAGAGAGGCTCCACCTATTAATTTCAGTTTGGAAAGTTTAAAGAACAAAGAAACAGAATTTTCAGTTTTGCTACTTAACAGCAGCAGCTGAGACTTATAGCTCATGAAATATCACCAATAGGGACTTGAGAGATGTTCTGCAACCTATTCATGACTTTCTCACCTCTTGTATTCTGTAGTACTTTAAGATTTCTGCCCAATTAAATTTTCTTTTCCTATATCTATGTGACTTCCACCCTCATGCTCACAATCTTGGCTTTACTGCCTGAAATAACCTTCAAACCACTTCCTCCCACTGTTCAAAGCACAATCCAAACTTTTCTTATTGGTCCCTGTACATACCTCACTGAGAACACTTACCCTGAGAATCTGTTAGTCTATGTTTCCTTATATAACTCTGTGCCTTCAGGGCCTAACCCTTTGCCCAGCATAGAGTAGGCCCTTAGTTAATATATCCTGACCTTTGGCAGGAGTGATAATCAAACATAGTATCTGCCAGTAGCTAAGCACAACCAATTATCACTTGGAATGTACTAGTTAAAAATATTGTCCTGAAGTTTAAAATAAAACCAAAAAAACATGTGCAGGACAAACAGAGAGAAAAAATTGCTTGAGACTAGAAGATATAAGTTTGAACACAGCTAGGAACTGTGATTGGAAATAAAAAGTACAACTCTTCATTGATATTATTAAAAGTCTTTTGCAATGGAGCATTAGAAGCTTGATATGGATTAAACTGTGTCCCCCAAGTTTTATGTATTGAAGATTAATCCCTATTATAACTGTTGAGGGTGAGAAAATCCTGTTATGGTAATTGAAAGGTGAGGCCTTGAAGAGGTGATTAGATTCTGACGACCATGCCTAGTGAATGGATTAATAATAGTGGTCATGGGTGTAGTTCTGAAGGCTTTAAAAGGAGCCAGCTGAGAAGGTTAGTTCACTCTCTGCTCTGCCATTTCTGCCATGGGAGACCCCTGGGTCACTGTCATGTTACTGCCAAGGAAAACCTCACCAGATGTGTTACCTGGACTTTGGACTTCCCAGCTTCTGAAACTGTAAGCAATACATTTTATTTTGTTCCAAATCACTCAGTTCCAGATACTGTGTTATAAGCAACAGAAACGGACTAATACAAAGCTTAAACATTGGTTAGAGTGTGCTGCTGATAACACCAAGGTCAAGGTTTCCAAATCACTCAGTTCCAGATACTGTGTTATAAGCAACAGAAACAGACTAATACAAAGCTTAAACATTGGTTAGAGTGTGCTGCTGATAACACCAAGGTCAAGGTTTCATTCAGACCCTGGTACTGGCCAGCTGCTAAAAATAAAACAAAAAGAAGCTTAAACAATCATATAATATGTAGTAATACAAAGAAGTGCGTGTTATGCTAATACAAAAGATAGGATAGTGGAGTGGTTTAGAGTATATTCTTGGGAGCCAGATTCCAAAGTTCATCTTCCAGTTCTGCTACTTTCAAACTGCATGAATTCAGGTGAGTTATTTAACTTTGTTTCTGTAGCTTCATCATTTATAAAATGCAATTCTAGTAATATTTCCTCAGAGGACTATTAACTAAAGGAGTTACTATATCAAAAGCACTTAGAAAAGTGGTTGACAGGGCCGGCCCGGTGGCGCACTGCTACAGTGCGCCACTTGGGAGCATGGCGGCGCTCCCGCCGAGGGTTCGGATCCCACATACAGACCGGTTCCCACTCACTGGCTGAGCGAGGGGCGGGCGCAGCACCGAGGGTTGCGATCCCGTTGCCGGTCCCGGTCCGGTACGGGCGCGACACTGAGGGTTGCGGTCCGTTGCCAGACACGAAAAAGGACAAAAAGGAAAAAAAAAAAAAAAAAGAAAAGTGGTCGACACATAAAAAAAGCTATATAAATTTTATTATTATTGTTATAATTTCCCATCTTTAAGCATGATACATGACAACAAAAAGCAAGAAAAGTGAAGACTGGAGGCCTATCATATTTCCATAAATAAATGTTAAGGGTGATGTGGATTTAAATGGCAATGTGTATCATTCATTATTTTAAAGGCACTCTTGAAATTACACTTTTTTAAGCTCTTTGCTCAGAGCTTGCTCAGAGTCTTTACACAAGAGAAGACACATACATTTCCTTGACCCCATCTCTCCACTCCCCTTCTATGTTGCTTCCATGACAAATTTTATGATTTTTTTTTTTTTAAAGATGACCGGTAAGGGGATCTTAACCCTTGACTTGGTGTTGTCAGCACCACGCTCACCCAGTGAGCAAACCGGCCATCCCTATATGGGATCCGAACCTGTGGCCCTGGTGCTATCAGCACCGCACTCTACCGAGTAAGCCACGGGCCGGCCCCAAATTTTATGATTTATCATTAAGTACAAATTATTAAAGTGCAATAAAGATTCTTTTGAGATACATTTTGGTATTGATATAGAACATAAAACTCAGCAATTAGATTTTCTTTATTGCTTGCTTTTGAACTCAGGTACCCACTGGAGTTCTCAATTAAGCAGAGTTTGGGAATGACAGTTTCCAAATCTTGGTCTAAAGGCTTTTGAGGTAACGGCTTTATAGTCCTTATTTGAATTTATATAAGTAAGCATTTCTACAGTCCATAATTTCTAATTCTGAGATATCTGGCCCTCAGGCTTCTGGGGGCATTAAAAATATGACAGTTTCTATGTACTCTTACTTTCTCTTCTTTTTGACAAGGCTCATAATAGAATATTGCAATCTTTGGCTCGTTCACCTCAGTTTTCTTCACTATGCAAAGTTCATAAAGGCAGATATCATGTCTGTCATGTTTGTCACCATATCTCCCATGCCATCCATGGTGCACTGTACATAATGGGCATTTCAAAAGTATTTGGTAAGAGATATGAATAAAGTCCTATATTGGAGGAGTGGAGTATAGTTGAACTGGTTTCAAATCCCAGTTTTTCTAATCATTATCATGTGATCTACAGCAATTTGCTTAACAAACTTTCATTTTTAATTTTTTAGTAAAATGGGGATAATACCTATTTGATAAGGATTATGAGAATTTAGCAAGGTAACAGTTTATTTTAATTTAATTCTTTTTTGGTTTTGGTGGCTGGTTTGTACAGGGATCCAAATCCTTGACTTTGGTGTTACTGATAACAGTTTGTTAAAACTCCACCTGAGTGTATATTTTCCAGGTATTGCGTTTCAAAATATAGGGCTTTAAAAATTGAGTGAGGTACACTTCTTGTCCTTAAGAAATGTCCACATAAGGTAATAAGACAAGTCACAGAATATTATGGAACTGTTAAGGGTGTTCAAAGTAAGGACATGAGTTTGAGGGAATCAGGAACAGAGGTGGCACATGAAATGGTCCTTGAGGGATAGTTGGGATTTCAATAATTAAAATGGATGGTTATATCCAGGTTAAACAAAGAGAACATAAGCAGGGACGTGAAAAGGTGTGACTGAAGAAGGGCCAGATTCTTCTGGCTGGCTGAAATGTGGAGTTCACACACGGAAATAGTGAGAGAGATGCCAGAAATGTGGGGTGGAGCCATATTGGTGGTGTCAGTTTCTTTAATCCAGTAGGCAACAAGAAACGCCTGATGATTTGGGCCTGTGGCATAATAGGAAGATTACTGTGGCAATAGTGCAGAACGGATTGGAGGGTGGAAGCGCCCAAGAGTGGGAAGACCAGTTAGGAGAGGCTATTGCACTATTTTAAGCAAGAGATAATAAAGGTCTGCACCAGGTGAAGGGCACAGGGAATGCAGAGAAGACTACACAGGAAAGGCACATTTCAGAGAAAATCGACAGCGTGAGATGGGTGCCCCACATAGGAGAGACGCCGCCGGTAACTGGAGCCATTTATACTAATGGGTAAGTCACAGGAAGGTGTCAATTTAGGATTCGGAGATCGGTCAGCTTGAGGTTTGGGTTTGGGTTGCACCTCGCTGCCACCTTCCCTTTTACATCTCCATCTTTTTTCAGGGCCACTCCTAGTTCCCTCAATCTCTTTCCACTAAGTGGCTGAGCTTTCTATCACCAACCTTGACCCTGGGATTATCCTCACGCTCCAATTCTGCTTCCTACCACTGTCTCCCACAGCACTCTCACAATCGGGACAACCGCAGGTCGGGTCCTGGGGCGGCGGGACACTCCACCCGCCAGATCTCCTATAGCTCTCGCCTCGGCAGCTTCCATGCTTGCGCCCCCACGGCTCTTGGGCCAATAGGCAGGTCCTAGTGCTGGGCCTCGACTAGCTATTGGTTGGCCGAGCCATGGTGAGAGATCGTGCGGTGCCAGTTCTCGGCCCTGGTGAGAGCTGTGGGCGGTTGTTAAGGCGACCGTTCGTGACGTAGGCGCCGTCAGGCCGAGCAGCCTTCCGATGATTGGCTAGGCGATCGGACGATCCTCGCTTATTGGTCGTAGGCTCGGTCGGCTCCGGGCGTGCGCAAGGCGAGGGTTCCTTCCGCTTCGCGTCTCCGTTGGCTGGAGACAGGCGGAGTGCCGGCGCCCGGCTTTGGTGGCCTCTAGTGAGATCGGGAGGTGAGGCTGCTGGTGGCCACAAAGGGGGACCGGGGCCGCGGTGGGTGGGAGCGGGATTTGGGCCATGTTGGTGGCGGCTCTCGAGCTTCTCCCGGCCCTGCGAAGTGGCTGTCGACAGGACCTGCGGACCTGGCGGGAGCCGCGGTTGTGCTTTTTGGGTGTGGCGGCCCAGTCCCGCGGGGACTGCGAGACGTCCTTGAGGCCCGGCGAGCCGAGCGGCGGCCGGCACCACTGCTTGGGAGCTGGGGGGCGAGCGGCGGTCCAGCCCATCCGTGACTGCCGTCACCATCGCGCACCCGCGGGGTGTAGCCACGTTCGCTGGCCCTGTCTGAAGTAGGCAGTGCTGGCCGCGTAGTCACGGTCATCGGGGTGGAAAGGGTGCCATGCAGGGTGACCTCGAAGGCCCCTTGATTGGAGGAATGCTGGGGGCCTGGGGGCGGTCGGGCCGACAGCCCGCGGAGGGGACGGGAGAAGCGCCTGCGGGGTCCAGGCGTTCACACCCAGGCGCTGCTGTTCGTCAGCATCTTCCTTGTAAGTGACGGGGGAGATCTCCGTAAATGCTGCTAACTAACTCAGAGCCTTGAAAGAACCGTGGGTCGGTGTAGATGTGTCCGGTTATTTCCGTGAGAACGGGTTGGGAGGATGCGAGCCCAATGTTGGGACTCACCCAAGGACTCAAAAGATCATTCTTTTTCTTTTTTTTCCTAAGGGACCTGGTCTCCTTGATGCTGATGTCATTTAGTCAAAACACTAGGTTTTTTGGAATTATTTTGTTTGGATTAGGAAAACATACCCTGGAGGTTCAAATATAGGAGAGTGAATTTCTGCGGTAGGGAGGAGGTTGATATACTCCATCTTAAATGGTCACTTGAAGTAGTTGAGGATTTGAGGATATGCCTTCTTGGATATCTTGGATCTCCTTACAGATCACAGGAAACATTTGTTTCTGGGCCATACTAAATAATCGTGCATAATTTCAGCATCTCACAAGGTAGAATGTATTTTTTTGGTTGTTGTTTACTTGTGTATTTATTTTTCCCTCCGTGAGATGAAAAGCATTTTATAATTTAGAGATCATCTAACAAAAGAGTGTAATTTGGGGATAGACTGGATTTTGCAGGCTTTCTTTGTTGTAGTGTCTTTTCGTAACTTATGATAAACTTGGCATTAGTGACAAATGGGAATTGATAACATGGAGGTTAAAAAAATTGTGCATAGATTACAGCGTTAGCATGAAAATTGTCGTTTGTGTGGCATGACCATTTGAAGATGAATGTGTGTGTGTGCAAGTGCTCACTCTTTTTATTCTTTTATGGTCTCGTCTCTAGACCATAGATAGATAGCCACCATATGGAATCAATATCTATTGAGGTTGACCCTCTTATAATATTGCCAATATTTGAGATTTGACTATTTTTTACCTACAAATATAGCAGTTCATATGGTTCCACTTAATATTTGTCTTTGTCAGAGAACTTTGGAACTCTAGCTTCCTAAGTGAATGAAGAGAGGAGATGTGACTTACAAACAGATAGCATGCAATAAAATTGGGTATAGAATCTAGGTTTCTGATTTCCAGAGCAGGATTTTTTTTCCACCCTAGATACGAGGTTGAGCAGCAGACTGCTAGATCCTGTTAGGATTAAAAATGACTATAATGGTAAGACATGGTTCTTGCCTTCAAAGAGACAAAATGTACACATTAATTTGAGAGCAGTGTAAAATAGCATATAGTCAAATACTGGAATATGTAACACAGGAGGAGTGCTGAGTGGGAAGAAGTAATCAGGATAGGGTGCCAAAGCATGGGAAGAAATAATCAGGATAGGGTGCCAAAGCATCCTTTTCAGCAGTTGGCCATGGTAGGTGGTTTCTGTTGCAGATTGAATTAGAGTTTAAGGATTCCAGTGATTTTAAGTTATCCGTTCTTTTAAAGAATCTGTGAAAAGTGAAAAGTATACAGCATACTTCAGTCTGGATAAGCAAGGCATACGTTGCCTATTTACCTTGTTTTCTTTAAGTAAAATTTATTTTTATTGCAGCATGGCATAAATACTGTCTATTCAGTTTGCAAGAGCTATCCTGTAGCCTGCCAGTGCCACTTGCAACTGCTGATATAGAAAGAAGATTGGATTCTATGGCATGTAAATGCTTTGCATAATCGCGGGGAAATGGGGAGGGTGCTCATGAGAAATGGGATTGTTTATAATTATGGTTACTTTTGACACACCTTCATATGATTGCTTAGTGTGTATTTCCAAACAGGTGTGGTTTTCTGTTTGGAGGTGGCTCACAGGATCATGTATAATCTTTTCCCTGAATGTTGCAAAGATGACTTTATACCTAAGAAAAAAATGTCACAGAATTGACAATGCCACCTTGAAATTTTGAGGGAAACATAATGTGTTTAATGTATAGTTATGGGTTTGTCATGCTAAACCAATTTGTGATCAGATTGGGGTTCCTTCCTTGTAGCAGCTCAGATTTTAATTCCACTTAAATTTTTAATAGTGATGAATAATATTAATTTGATAGGAATAATCTGAATTGAAGGGTTTTTGTGTGTGTGTGTGTGTGTGGATTGGGGTTAGAAAAAATTTTGACCTAGTTTTGAAACATGTAGTTAATTCACTTTCAGGAACATGTGTGTGTTGGGGTTAGAAAAAATTTTGACCTAGTTTTGAAACATGTAGTTAATTCACTTTCAGGAACATTGATGCTAGTTGATCTTTGAGACCAGTTTGTACAGTTTTGTTTTAAATATAAGAAAGAAGTTATGTGATAGAACACCATCATGAAAATTTAGCCTCTTTATGAGGCTTTTGGTTGTAATTACCTAGAGTTTAAAATAAGATATGATTAAAGCTTTTCAGGACTTTCATTCCAAGTCCCTACTAATTTAATAGAAAGTACATTATTTTGTTTTTGTCCTTTTCCAGGATAATATAAAAAATGAAATCCCCCCCACCATCCCCCATTAATGTGTTCCCTGAATGCTGTGCATTTGGCCTTTAACTGAAGGGGATGGGTTACATCCATATCTAGATGCCTTAAAAAAAAAGTCGTCTTTATGTCTGTTGCAAGATGTGTCAATAAAATGCATGCTACTATAATTTAAGAATTTTTAAAAAATGTAGCAGGTATTTGTTGCGCAGTGCTATATATAAAGTGCCAGGAGCTGGAGGGTAAAATGATAAATAAGACTCAGGATGGAAGTTTGAAAAAGCGTGAGTAAACACAGGCAATTGCGTGCCACATTATATCCCTTAGTGACTGCCAGCCTTTTAAAATTGTAACCTGCAGTAAGAAATACATAACTGTTGGAAGCCAGAACACACTGTCATATATGTATGGTTTCATGAAACATGAAGTTTCAGGAAATAATACCTACCCATACTACATGTCTTACCCAACAGTTATTTTTTATATTATTATTTTCTAGTATATTTTCAAAAGTTTGTTCTTACAAAATTGATTTTATGATCTAATTGATTCAGTGAAGAAAGGTTGTGATGTACAGAAGGAAAACCACTTATCTAGCTGGTGGCTTGGTATGGTTGAAATGTAGAGAATATAGGGTGATGCAGTGTGAGATGACACTTGATAATTGCTTAGGTTCCTAAAAGCTACTCTTTTTTTCCTTTCTCCTAATCCTTAGGTAGATGAATGCTTTCTTTTTTTTTTTTTTTTTTTTTTTTTTTTTTTTTTTGTCTTTTGTCTTTTTTCCTTGTCCGTGTCCGGCAACGGATCACAACCCTCAGTGTTGCCCCCGTACCGGACTGGGGACCGGCAACGGGATCGCAAGCCTCGGTGTTGCTCCCGTGCCTCGCTCAGCCCGTGAGCAGGAGCCGGTCTGTATGTGGGATCCGAACGCTCGGGCGGGAGCGCCGCCGCGCTTCCCAAGCGGCGCACTAGCCAGTGCGCCACCGGGCCGGCCCGATGAATGCTTTCTTTTACTTAATTTGTTGCCTTTTTATTTTCTGTACCCAATAGATGAATCACTTTCTTAGTTATTACTAAATGAGAGATTCGTTTGAATTCTTGATAAATTGGCAATCAGTGGACTTATTATAAATCTTAATTTCAGTTTATTTTTATGGGCAATTATTATGCTTTATCATTGGCACTAATTTTAGTGCAAGAAGTAAGGCTTGCAAGTTCCTTTGTAAAGACCGATGGCTATATAAGATTTTTTTTCAAAATCACAATATCAAAATTATTATTATTATTTAGCCAGCAAACATGAGGATATTTAGTCATGGTAGTCAGATCAAAATCTTCTATCTGTTCTATTGGAAATTTTTTTGAATGCTACAGGCATATACTTCAGCCAGCCATCCTCTTCTACTCCTGTTTGCTTATTAGCTGTGGAAGTTGAGAGCTTTTCACGTCTAATGCTTTTCGATTGGTCTTCTGGCCCTATTACTGATGATTCTAGTAGAAGAAAGCAGCCACCACAGCAAAATTCTTACTCCTTTTTTATTAATGTAGAAACATCTGTCGGAAAAGACTCTTCTGTGGTGATGGCAGAATTAGGAAGGTTTGTTAAATATCATTTTGCTAGTGACATACTGCCGTATGTTTAACAGAGCAAAAAAGTGTAATGGGTCCCTGCCCTTGAGGAGCTTATAAATTAACATGATTTACAGGACACTCAACAAGTAGATTCTTCGTGTCACCAGAATGTGGATGACAAAGAGGGTGCTTTTATGAGTTTTATCTGGGTAATTAGAAAAGGTGAATTGTTTCTCACTTTTGTTTTCTGCTTTATTGCTCTCCTCCTTGGCTCAGATAACAAGGGCTGAGATATTTATTTAGTTTAATTTTAAATGCTTGGATTCATGCAATTGTTAAGAAATGGCTGCTTTTAAGCTGGTTGTCAGTGAATAATAAAGGATTTAAGTGTTTGAGTAAGGAGTAATAACAGAACCCTCTTAATTTAATTTTATAATTATTTTTCAGAATGATAAGGAATACTATTGAATAGTTATATGTACAGGACACTGTGTATACAAAACAGGGTTTACAGCACACTTTTCCTTACAGTCTTCCTAAAAATATAGTGAACCATGTATTAAGTGTTCATGTTTGATATTCCTTCCAGGGTCCAAGGATTCTGTAGCTCCAATGTTGTCAAGACTTTTCCGAATGCATGGCCTCTTTGTGGCCTCCCATCCCTGGGAAGTAATAGTGGGGACAGTGACACTGACCATCTGTATGATGTCCATGAACATGTTTACTGGTAACGATAAGATCTGTGGTTGGAATTATGAGTGTCCAAAGTTTGAAGAGGTTAGTGAAATTAATTTGAAATTGACTAAAGTCAGTTGCATTTTTAATTTCTAAAGAGATCTTATATGGCCCCCAAAAAGTTATGAGTAAAATCTTCATTTTAGTATTCGTGAACTTAAAATTTTTGTTTACTTACGTGGTATGGAAATGTACCAGAAATACTTTTCTTTTGCCTTTTCTACATAAAGGAGTGTAATTGGCTTTATTTGAGAAATATATCTTTTATAAGTAACTAATGGTGAAAAATGCTTGTGATGATATATTGGCTTACCATGGTTGATTGTTTAAAAATTGGATTTAATTTTTGATTTGTATGTTTGATGTTTTTATTGCACTTTTATTGTGCCTACTTTTATATTCTCATGATAATATGTAAATTAATAACACATACAAAATAAAAATTCTTATTTTTCATTGCTTGTTTTAAACGCTAAAGCTATTGGAGTTTTCTTTTCTATCTCTCTCAATAGGATGTTTTGAGCAGTGACATTATAATTCTGACAATAACACGATGCATAGCAATCCTGTATATTTACTTCCAGTTCCAGAATTTACGTCAACTTGGATCAAAATATATTTTGGGTAATACTTTGATATATTTATCTTTTTTGTGTGCAATCAGATTTTTGATTTGCTGTGGAAATAAACTTGTTTGTTGGAATCATGTGTTTGGAAATGTATGTATTGCTGAAAGTGTGCTGCATGCATTTAATAGTTTCCTTTCTAATTGTTGGAAATTAGCCTTTCTGAAATTTGAGACCTTAAATATCTGGAGAAAAATAATGTTGTTTATCTCAGAATATTATATGAGGTTAAAATTATTATTTGTATAATAAAGGGTAAAGTTTTTTTCAGGTTTCAATTTTGTCATTTTAGGTATTGCTGGCCTCTTCACAATTTTCTCAAGTTTTGTCTTCAGTACAGTTGTCATTCACTTCTTAGATAAAGAATTGACAGGTTTGAAGTAAGTATTTAAAGCCTAACTTTACTTTCTTTCAAAATACATTTTTAAGAACTTTTCTTCCCCATGCCATAAAGATAATGTATAGATTTTCAAAAGTGTAAAAAATATAGGGAAATTTTGATGTAATCTTACTATTAGCTGTTTTAATAATTTTTAAATTACTGTTAATTAATAACTTAACATTTTGGTATATATCCTTTCCCACTTTTTTTTATACTTAACGAAAATATCTGAGATTGTACTATATGTACTATTTTATGATTTCTTTATGCTAATAATAGTTTATCAACATCTTTACATGTCCTTACTGTTAAACTAAATTGCTTTTAGTGTCTGTGTAGTATTCTATACAATGGTGTATGAATCCTTTGTGGTTAATTAATCCTCTAATTTTAGATTGTTAGGTTATTTAGTTTTAGATTAGTTATTTACTTTTCTCCACTAAAACAACACTGTGATGAATATCTTCATGGCTAAATTTTTGTTCATATTCATAATCATTTGCTTAGGATACATTTCTAGGAGTGGGACAGGAGCTTTGCTTTTGAGAGCTTTGCTTTCTTTTTTTTTTCTTTTAAGAGCTTTTTAGTGTTAACAGTGCCAATTTGCTCTCCAGGAAGTTTTAGTTTATCCTTCCATAGTAGTGATTAATGAAAAAAATTTTTATATATTCTCCTTTTTCCCCTATGCTAATTCAAGGAGATGTTTTTTTACTAAGGATAATATTTTGCCATAAAATTATCAAAAGGTGTTTCAGTTGTAAATATATTTACATTTTAACAAGAAAAATATTTTTAACAAATATTTTGAGCAACTGTTATGTTTATCTATGAGGATGCCAAAAAAAGTACAGGGTATACCTTTTGGTTCACACAAAGGTAAACATACTAAAGGATCATTCAATGTGTGGCAGAAAAAAGTTTTGTTTTAAAAAGGATTTTTTAAAACTGTATTATTTCTCCTGTTAAATGTGCCTGATTCTCTTGCATTTTTTTCCAGTGAAGCTTTGCCCTTTTTCCTACTTTTGATTGACCTTTCCAGAGCGAGTGCATTAGCAAAGTTTGCCCTCAGTTCCAACTCACAGGTAAGTATTATTAATAAGAAAGGAAAGTAATAGTACTCCTTTTTACATTAATAGCATTCATAGAATCTCTTCATAGCCCAAGGTTCAGGAATTGCCTGATTAAGTTTAATTCTTAAGTCCTAATACTGGTCTTCATAAGGCTCCGAGAACAGTCCCATTTATCTAATGACTCAATTATAATTCTATAGTGTATTAGTCCGTTTCTGTTGCTTATAACAAACTACCTGGAATTGGGTAACTTATAAAGAAAATGAAATTTATTTCTTACATTTTTGGAGGCTAGGAAGTCCAGAGTCCAGGGAACACATTTGGTGATGGTCTTGGTGGTGGTGGTGTTGGTGATGGCAGAGTATCACACTGTGAAAATGGTGGAGCAGAGAGAGAGAAACCTCATTCTTTTTAAAGCCCTCAGAACCATGCACCTGACCATCATTTTTAATCCATTCATTATGGCATGGTCTTGCAATCTAATCACCTCTTCAAGGCCCCACCTTTCAATTACCATAATAGTATTTCCCACCCTCTTAATATTGTCACCGTGGGGGTTAAGTTTGGGGGGGGGCATTCAATCCAAGGCACATGGCTGCTGGAATTTGGAATCTGTGATATTGTCACCTTGGGGGTTAAGTTTGGGGGGGGGCATTCAATCCAAGGCACATGGCTGCTGGAATTTGGAATCTTCTTCCTCATTTTCCTTTGTTTGTTTTTCTTTTTGGCAGCTGGCCAGTAAGAGCACCCAAACTAATTTTTCTTTTTGAAGGTTTTTAGAAACTATGTATGGTAATATGACTTTTATATAAACAAGAGTATCTACCTAGTGAAACATATTAGGGAGCAGGACAGGATCTAATAGAAGAAAGCATCAGGGTAGATTTATTTTTTAACCCCTTGAATTAACACTAGCATTATTTCCCACTTTAAGTTTTATCTTGATACTCATTAGTCACTTTAAAGAACCTAACATTTTTAACAATCTTGCATTAGAGTATTTTGAGTATAAAATTGCACGTAGTTCTGCCCTGATTATGTATTGATGAATGTTTATGATCATTTGAGCATATTGACGAGCAAATGATTTATATTTTATACTAACATGATCTCATAAAAAATTTGCAACTAAGTTTTTCTTTTTTTATTTTTTTTCCTTTTTGTCTTTTTTTGTGACTGGTAACGGGATCGCAACCCTCGGTGTCGTGCCCGCACTGCGCTCAACCAGTGAGTGGACCGGTCTCTATATGGGATCCGAACCCTCGGCGGGAGCGCCGCCACGCTCCCAAGCGCCGCACTCTACCGAGTGCGCCACCGGGCCGGCCCTGCAACTAAGTTTTTCTATCAATGGTGGCCAAAACATAAAATGTTGTAGGATTTCATTATGTGGGATTTAAATGACAGATTTAAAGTACCACCTCAAAGGACTATTCCCAAGAAATGAAATATCTCATTCAGTGGAAAGGGAAGCGGGTCACTGTATTAAAAAAATAAATAAATAAAAAATAAAAAGAATATATATATATATATATATGTATATATATAAAATATGACTTATTTTATAATATATATTTTATTATATAATATATATTTATAATATTAAAAAATATGATTTTTTTAATCCTCTCTGTTATACCACACTTTGTATCTCAAACAACCATTAGTCTTATACTGAATATTTTATTCTTTGAGTAGTAAATTAGATTTAGTATAAGACTTAGGATGCTCTTTAACATTTTTAAAAGTTATTTTGTACCTTGCCCGCATTGCTATGTTTTGTCCGTTTTAGGATGAAGTAAGGGAAAATATTGCTCGTGGAATGGCAATTCTAGGTCCCACGTTCACCCTTGATGCTCTTGTTGAATGTCTTGTGATTGGAGTTGGTACCATGTCAGGTTTGTAAGCAATTTTTCATATATTTTAAAATAAGAATGTCACTAAAGAGAAAAAAGAACATCTTGGATTTACATTGTTTGTTATTAAATTCTGACTTTTAAATTACTCTTAAATTTTTAAAATTGTTTTAGTGTGTGGGTTTATCTGACTTTGTGTCTGTTTGCTATGGTGAAACCTTAATAGCAGGTTACTGATTTATTTTTCACTTTTGCCATCTTCTCTTTTTGTGTTCCACTTTATCTGTTGTGTTTTTGTTGTTTAGCTTTTAACCAAGATTGTATTCCAGAGCTGGTCTGGAAAGTGCCTTTTAGCTCCTAGACTAAGTTAGTGACTTGGTCCCTTGTGTTTTAATTGTCATGTAGTAGACACTCTTGCAATTCCTGGACAGAGCTGAGTTCGATCCACCAAGTAAGGTGGTTGGGAAGATTTAATTATATAGTAAACAGTACATCTTAGCAAGTAACCAACATATTAGCCTCTACACATTATGTTTCCTCATCCTTAATTGGATAGTGAAGAATTAAGATATTAAATATCAAATATAGGACTCCATCATATAGTATAAAAATTATGGCCTGCCATGGAAATTTGCCAGGATGAGTATATCATGCTGTTGTGGAGGTTTCCTAATCATTAGGACTAGATTTTATGGTTTTCTCATGAAGACCATACTTAGTTAACTACAGTTCTAGTGAATTTCCTGGTGCCTTAGAGCCCTCAATAAGGGTCCTCATTTTTTCAGAAGTAAATTATCTGTGAGTTGGTTGTAATTAGTGGAGATCTCTTCACTAGGTAGTGTATTAAATATGTAATATTTTTTCTAACTTTCTGAGGGAAAACTGATTATTTAACAATTTGTTGTCATTCAACAAAAATTTTATGTAGCAAAGAAAATATTTTTTTTCTAAATTATTTACATGCCTTAAAATTCACATTTGAGGGGGTACAATTTTATGAGTTTTGAAAAAGATACAGTCATGTAACCATCACTACATTCAAGAAAAATGTTGATCAGGTGAAAACATATCTTTGTGATTTTATTCAAGCAAAAGAGTATATGCGAAAATGAAGAGGATTAGCCAGGAAGTCGTAATGGGCCATGAAACAAACGATTATTCATTTAAAACTGATGTGGAAAGCAGTAGGGTGATGAGTTTTGTCATGATATGGTCAGAAAAGTGGACAAAGGAAGTGATTAGATTTATAGGTGGAGAAGCCAGTGAGGAGACATTTACAGCTATACAGAAATTGTATGGTTTAGAGTAGAAAGAAAGGATAGATTTAACACATAGTATTAACTAGGAAGTACTCTTTGAAAAAGCCAGTACAGAAAGAAAAAGTCTTAGCTTTTTGGAAGTATATGGATTGGTGCTGTCTCTGTGTAATAACAGAGTGGTATTGAGAGACTTTGGTACAGTCAGGAAGAGTACTGGGAGAACATAGGGCAACAACAGGAGTTACTGCTGTGCAGAGAGAAACAGTAGATAGTCAAGATGTGAAAGCACTGGTCAAGTGTAGTTTCCATGGTCTCGAGTTTGAAAAGATTATATTCAGCTGTTGTTTGAAATGTAGGTTTGTTCATAATGCTTCTATTGTAAATTTTTAGTCTCTTGAAAGTCCACGTTTGAGAGTAATCAATTTTGAATTTTTTTTTGGTCCTTTTTGAGACCGGCTGCACTGCGCTCAGCCAGTGAGCGCTGTGAGCGCACCGGTCATCCCTATATAGGATCCGAACCCGTGGCGGGAGCGCTGCTGCGCTCCCAGCGCTGCACTCTCCCAAGTGCACCACGGGCTCGGCCCCAATTTTGAATTTTTAAAAAATACAGTGTATACTTCTGTTATTCAGTCAGATTCTTAATTTAGAAAATAAAATATAACTGAGTTTTTGGTATTAGTTATTCATGTTAGCAGTTTTTATAGGAAAATGGAATAATTATAATATTTTAAAGCATTTTTATATTTAAGTAACATCAGAAATATGTTTTATATTATACTCAAGTTTATTTGTGAAGTGAAAGAGCAGGATTTGGTAATCTGAGGTCTTTTCCAGCCTCTATAATTCTATTGTCTTTTATTTGAGATTACCAAATGATACCTTAAAAATTTTGTAGTGGAATATTTATTAATTTTTAATCTTGAATCGACATTTTGCATCATACTTTTCAAACAGATCAGTGAAGTAACCAAAATTGTAAGAATTTCATTAGGCACCATAGAGGTTATATTGAAATTAGAATTTAGTGGAACACAAAAAATATTTATTATGACACTGTATCAAAAATGGCATAACTGGCAGTATGTTCTACTTTTATAAAAAGTTCTTTGTTACAGTTGAATTGCTTTTGTGGTAACAAGTGGGATTAGGTCAATAGGATGACTGTGGGTGGTTTTACTCCATTAGAGCAGCCTGTGATCTATACCTTGTCTCCAAACAAGCTACTATTGTTTGATAAAGGCAGATTGGAAATGCATTTGTTTATCAGATATGTATTAAACACTACCACTGTGCCTGTCATTGTGATGTTGGGGACATGGAAGAGGACAAGCTCTATACCCTTGAGAGACTTAGAGTTCCTTAGTTATTCCTGTTTTCTAAGGCTTGGCATCACCTTGGAGTTGCTAGTTCAATTGTCAGTGGATGGAAAAGAGCTTAATGTACTAATATTCTCATGTATTTGTCTACCTGCAGGAAGAGCCCTTGTGATAAATGCAGCATCAAAAATACATATACGTTACTACATATACATTTTATTTTTCTCTAAGCAGGGGTGCGTCAACTTGAAATTATGTGCTGCTTTGGCTGCATGTCAGTTCTTGCCAACTACTTTGTGTTCATGACCTTTTTCCCAGCTTGTGTGTCCTTGGTATTAGAGGTGAGAGCAATTCTTGCTTATGGTATTAGTAGAAGAGTAATATTTCTCATTATTTCAGTTCACCTAAACAGAATCAGTACCTTCTAATATAACAATGACTTACTTTTGTAGCTTTCGCGGGAAAGCCGTGAGGGTCATCCAATTTGGCAGCTCAGCCATTTTGCCCGAGTTTTAGAAGAAGAAGAAAATAAACCAAATCCTGTAACTCAGAGGGTCAAGATGATTATGGTAATGACATAGTTTTATTCTCTCTCAGTATCTTCAGTTTCAATGTTATTCTTTTTTGATTGTTTTTTTTTATTCTCTTCCTGTTTGCTTTCTATAATTTTTGGCTCTTTCAATTATATTTCACCCTCCTTGTTTTTCTTAACTTGTTCTTCATTTCTTTGAGGCTCTTGGTCTTTATTAGTCTTTCTCCTCTAAACAGATTTTTCAAGTTCCTCCACTTTTTTTTTTCCTTTTTATCTTTTTTACTGACCAGTAACGGGATCACAACCCTTGGTGTCGCGCCCGTACCGGGGACCGGCAACGGGATCGCAACCCTCGGTGTTGCGCCCGCACCGCACTCACCCAGTGAGCGGGAACCGGTTTCCACATGGGATCCAAACCCTCGGCAGGAGCGCCGCCGCGCTCCCAAGCGGCGCGCTCTCCAGTGCGCCACCGGGCCGGCCCAAGTTCCTCCACTTTATCTCTCTTTGAAAACGTGTTCTTCGGGATGTTTTCAGTAGTTCAGTGGGGACTTCACTTTAGTTAATCACATACCAAGCTTGAGGACTTTCTTTTCATGGTAAGGGGAGGCCACGGGAATAAGTGTCTGGTTGTCCAGTTGCTAGGGATGAGAAATTTAGGTTCCAATGATTTGAAGAGGATACATAATTTTTAAAATTTTATTTCAGTCTCTAGGCTTGGTTCTTGTTCATGCTCATAGTCGCTGGATAGCTGATCCTTCTCAAAACAGTACAGCAGAAAATTCTAAGGTTTCTTTAGGACTGGATGAAAATGTGTCAAAGAGAATTGAACCAAGTGTTTCCCTCTGGCAGTTTTATCTCTCTAAGTAAGTTAACTGAAATCTACTTTGTTTTGTATTAATCATAGCAGTCTAAGCTATATAGTTTAAGTTGTGCCTTTTATATTTGTAAATAACATTTTAATTTGCTTTCTTTTATTTAGGATGGTCAGCATGGATATTGAACAAGTTATTACCCTAAGTTTAGCTCTCCTTCTGGCTGTCAAGTACATCTTCTTTGAGCAAGCAGAGACAGAATCTACACTCTCATTAAAAAACCCTATCACATCTCCTGTAGTGACACAGAAGAAAGATCCAGACAATTGTTGTAGACGTGAACCTATGCTGGTCAAGAATAACCAGAAATTTCATTCAATAGAGGAAGAGACAGTGATAAACCGAGAAAGAAAAGGTAATTTTTTATTCTCTTCACTTTTAATTCTTCCATTGCCAATTTGTCAAAAAATTGAGTCCATCTTAAAAATTATGTTTAGTGTTGTGAGATTTCTTTTGATCTCTTGAACAGTTGAGGTTATAAAACCCTTAGTGGCTGAAAGTGACACCTCAAACAGAGCAACATTTGTGGTTGGTAACTCCTCCTTCCTTGATACTCCATTGGTGCTACTAACACAGGATCCTGAAGTTGAACTTCCCAGGGAGCCTCGGCCTAATGAAGAATGTCTGCAGATACTTGGGAATGCAGAGGTGAGGACAATAACAAAAAGTCAAATTTGGAGTTTTTCTTTAAAAAGGAGCTTTTTTATTAAAGGAAGGGAAAATTAATACTTGCTGAGTACTGCTAAGTTCTAGGTATCATGTTACATGGTTTACAGATACTGTTGCCTTTATTTATTCCTCACAACCTTGACAGGTTGGTGGAATTATCTCAGTTTTTCAGATGAGAAAGTTGAGGCTCAAAGAGTAATTTCCCAAAGTAATATATCTAGGAAATGGTAAAGCTGGGGGCAGGGTCCAAGATTTTCTGACTGCAGAGTCAAGACTTTCTAGTTTACTACTGCTTATCATAGAGGTGAGCAACTGCTGTATTCTTCTCATATGTGTGTTGAGGCTTAGAAAGGGTTTAACACAGAGATGAGTTTCAAAAATAAAAGAATGCTTGTTTTTGTTTTGTTTTGTAAGCTTGATGTTCATGAGGAAGCTTACTTTCCTTCCTGAGATTTGAACAGGTGTACTGCCTATGTGACCATATGAATCCACCTATGCTTTAGCATAGATAATTGTTCTCCATTCATATCTGCTTAATCTGGTTAATCCTTTTTTAAAAAATATTTTTTCAGGGCCGGCCCAGTGGCGCATTGCTACAGTGCGCCGCTTGGGAGTGCAGCAGCGCTCCCGCCGAGGGTTCGTATCCCACATACAGACCGGCCGCTCACTGGCTGAGCGACGTGCGGGCGCAACACCGAGGGTTGCGATCCCGTTGCCGGTCCCGGTCCGGTACGGGTGCGACACTGAGGGTTGTGATCCGTTGCCGGTCACGAAAAAAGACAAAAAAAGGAAAAAAAAAAAAATTGTTTTTTCATACCTTTATTGGTAAAATGCACTTTTTCCCTGGCTTTATTGAGGTTTAATTGACAAAACTGTATATTTAAGGTATACAGCTTGACGTTTTGAATATATATACATTGTGAATTAATCACCACAGTCAAGCTAATTAACATATTCATCACCTCATAGTTACTTTTTTCTTTCTGTCTTTAGTAAGAACACTTAAAAGATCTACTTTCATAGCAAATTTCAAGTATACATTACAGTATTGTTAACTATAGTTAACATTGCTGTACATTAGATCTCCAGAGCTTCTTCATCTTGCATAACTGAAATTTTGTACCAACATCTTGACCATTTCTCCTTTTCCCCAGTCCCTGGCAACCACCATTCTACTCTCTGCTTTTATGAGTTTGACTATTTTAGATTCCACATATAAGGGAGATCATGTGGTATTTGTCCGAGGTTAAGTCTTAATTTATATGAGTAAGACTGGAGGTGTGTTTGTTTTTCCTTATCACTTTCCTTTCCCTCATTCCTGTTAACATGTGTACCAGTACCTCACTGTTTGTTGTATGCAGGGTTAGCAAAACATAGGGTAGGCATTAGAATCTTAATTACAGATTTTTTCCCTATGAACCTCACTTGGAAATTTTAATGTTTTGGTCTTACATTTGTTTAATTTTTACATTTTTATAAAGAATTTGCTTTGATTTTGATATTTTTATTTCTATTCAAATCATCTCTTTCTTTAGAACCCAAAGCCCTTTTTTTTTTGTTGTTGTTGTTGTTGTTTTAATTTATTTATTGAATCAAAAGCAATTATACATATTTTGGGGGTTGAACATTGAGATATGTTGATCAAATCAATATTACTAGCATATGTATATTGTTACAAATCATAATTATTCTTTATGCCCCTTGTCTGATCTCTCCCCTTCCCCTATTCCCTCCTCCTCCCCCCTCTCATTACCATAGATTTCTTCTCTACTTCTGAAAGAATCATGGTTACTCTGTTAATTTGTTGCCTAGATGATCTGTCCAATGCTGAGAGATGTGATCGGGTCCCCCAATATTATCATAGAGCAGATGCTGCTTCTGTCACTCTGAAATGGGCTTTGTGGAAAGAGACATCCTCTTCTTTTCTTTGATTCTGCTGGTGACTCTCTTTGTGTGAATGCACTCCAGTAGTTGGTGGACCATTTGTGTGGTACTTGTGTCTAATTGCTTTCGCAGCAGCCATGGTTATTTTGGAGGCTGCAGTGGGCCACCTACATGGAGGTGCTGTTTCTGGTATGCTCCTTGGCACTGGCAGTATGCCTGGTTGTGGGGTGTGTCTGTTCCCCTTCTCCATGTCTCTGGTTCTTAGGCAGGCCCCAAGTCGCTGGTGCCATGTGCCAGGTTGTGGGAGGTGTGTTCAGTCCCCTTCTCCATGCCTCGGGTCACCAGGTGGGACCCAAGGAGCTGGCTTGGTGTGCCTGGTTGGGGGAGGGGGGTCTCGTCCCCAGCTCCGTACCTCGGGTCACTGGGCAGGACCCAAGGTGCTGGCTAGGTGTGCCTGATCATGGGAGAGAGGTCCGGTCCCCTTCTCCATACCTCGGGTCCCCAGGTGAGCTCCAAGGTGCTGGCATGGTGTGCCTGGTTGTGGGAGAGAAGTCTGGTCCCCCTTCTTGCCTCAGGTCACTGGGCGGGCCCCGAGGTGCTGGCACGGTGTGCCTGGTTGTGGGAGAGAGGTCCAGTCCCCTTCTCCATGCTTTGGGACCCTGGGCAGGCAGGCGGGCCCGAGGTGCTGGCACAGTTTGCCTGGAAGTGAGAGTGGGGTCTGGTCCCCGGATCCAAGCCTTTGGTTCCCAGGAAGGCCCCAAGGTGCTGGTGGTGTGCCTGGGCCGGAACTAATTTTTTGTCCTTTGCTTCTAACGGGGAACTTCCTGTGGGAACCAGTACTTGAGTGTGTGGTTGTTTAAATTGCTGCTTTGGTGCTGTTTCCCTAGGGAAGGCTTTTTGTGTAGCTCAGAGTTTAATGGTTGATCTTATAGGTACTTC